GTTGAACCATATGGTTCAGAATGATTTCAGGTAAAGGAGCTCGGGCAGCAAGGTCAACCTACTAGGCTGTGAATCAAGAGGATGAAGCTAAGTTGCCGTGTACCCGAGGATGTTTATGGGTGGCATCACCACCAGCTGGAGCATTAGCTTTGCCACAAAACAGTTCCAGGCCTTCTCTCCTTTTCTCAACGGAACAGAGCAAAATTACCTGGCCAAGCCTGTGCTGGGTAGAACGCACAAGTTATGGACATTTTTCATAATTTTTCATATTTTCCAGTTTTACTGTTGGTTGGGGGGGCTCTCTCTTGGACAAGGACTGGCCACGATACCTGTACATCCGACCCTGCAGCAGCTTCTTGTAGCGGTTTCAATCTTGTCGACACAAATGGTCAGTTTCTCGTTGATGCTCAACCATTGCACGTTTTTTCTTTTCAGGTGGGAAGCTTTCAACTTTTCGGCGTACTAGCATGTTGTCGCTTGCTGTGCTCGCAGATCTTAGCTACTAGTATTACTCCCTCTCGTTCGGATACCGGCCACGGGTCATGTTCAATTGTCGCGAAAGTCAAGTCTCTCACAAAAACAATACGTTGTTAATCGTTTTTGCAATTCCTCATGTGAATCTTGAATATTTATCGTTTCTCCATGATCAACAGTATGTAGATCCAGCGCCCAAGAAGCATGATTTGTATTGCAACATATTGCAACCAACCGTTTGTGTTTGCAAGTGTGCACTCGTATTTGCTGGAAGCCGATTGCAGGTCTCTATGACTAGCAGCTCGTGTGATGCAGATGTGCACAACTGGGATGATCGGAAGGATGACCTTTGTGGAGCTGTTGAGCATGCTGAAAAGGTGGGCATCGCCTGAATTGCATGGCCCAGCTAGGAAGTCAAAGGCGCTTGGCCCGCTCCCCTCCGTACTAGCGATGGCCTCCACCTAGTAGCAATGACCTCCAACCTACTAGCGATGGCCTCCAACCTGATTTGCAAACTAAAGTCAAAGTACGTTCTGTAGATTCTTTGTTCAAGTTTTGCACTCATGGAGGTTGTAGTCAAGCGCTGCGACGCCCGACATTCCTGCACAAGTGACGTGGCTGCGCATGACAGGTGTGGCAGCGCAAGCGCAGGAGGATTGTTCAGAGTGGATGAAGTGGACAGAAGCCTGGTGCTTAGAACGTCCAACAGTCAGCACACCGGAGGTGAAGGGGGGGAGGCCATCGCTAGTATTATGAAACCTAACGCACACACAGAAGAGGTTCGAGATGAAACATTCAAAACACAACAAATACTCAAAATAAAACCGCACACAAAAAAAAACAAACCTAGACTCAGCCCAAAACCAGAACTCAAGACCAAACACAAAAACACACTCAACTGGAGACTCAAGTAGCAGAAGGTTGAACAGAGGAAAAAAGCACATCCGGACTCAGCAACAGAGAATTTGAGTCTGGATTTGAGCAGTCTGGATTTGAGTCTGGATTTGGGTCTGGATTTGAGTCTGGGTTTGAGTCAGTCTGTTTTTTTGAGTCTGGATTTGAGTCTGGGTTTGAGTCTTGTTTTGTTATTTTTTTGAGTCCTGTCCTAAGTAGACCTGTTCTCCTGAGTGTGGATTTGTTTTTCCTATTTGCTTTTATTTTTTTTGAGTTTTTTTTTGTTTTCTCAATTTTTTTAAAGGATTTTGGCTCTGTGTGTTGAGTTCGACTTCATAATGCTAGTAGGTTGGAGGCCATTGTTACTAGGTTGGTAGGCGTCTATTTAATTCAGTAAGGAGGTAAGCTACTAGTAGCTAGGACGCGGAAGGCTTCAGGCTTCTTCAAGGAAGCTCTTGCCCCCTGAGAGCGGGGGAGGAGCTTCCTTGAAGAAGCCTGAGCCTTAATGAAATTGATTCTTATCTGTTTGACAGCTTAACTTGTGTTAAGAAGTATGTTGCTTCCAACAAGTACTGGACGTTTCCCTGTAAAAAAGCCTTGGCCCGACCCCACAAAGTCTGAGTAGGGTGTTCAAATTGACCCTTTAAACTTTGCTTCTCGTTCCAAGTGTCAGGTTATAGGTGCCCACAAATGCTGTTGGATTTTTTTTCTTGTCCCTCTTTGCGTCTTTGTTCCTGAAACCCTGTCAGTGGGTGCTATGGGGGCACACACTTGGAATGCATTCTAACATCCTTTGCGCAAAAAGCGCGTTCTGAGTGGGCAAGAAATCGCTGACCCGTTGAAGACCGAAGAAGCGGGCAACAGTGAAGACATCACTTCTTCGCCGAGGCTTTCACCAACGAATTTGCTGGCAAGAGCCTTTCCCATGGTACATGGAACAAAAAGTAAAACATATCGTACAGTTTGGGGCATGGCTAGGCAGGAAAGATGTGGGAAGCGTGGTTTAAATCTAGTGAAGCACTCATATCTAACTCTCCCCAGTCAGGCTGTTCGAGCTGACCAATTGTACAATGTCAGAAAACACAGTCAGGCTAAAGGTGTACGACGTATGCATTGGCTAGAAATGCCTACAGAACCTCACGTTTACCAGCAGTGGACCTAGTCAATTGTTCCGTACTGTTCAGACAGAATGTGAGTGTGGATTCATGAGCCAAAATGTTTGGGTATGCATCCACCAGCTTCCTAGCCTGCTAGCCGGAGGTAGGGAGGAACCAATTCTCCTTGGGGTTAGGTTGGAGGCCATCGCTGTTCCTCAGGCACCCTGCGGGTGGCCAGTGAGCGCAGGCGAGAGTCACTTGAGCATGGCAGATCCTATGATGCGAGCAATGCAACCAATGCATGCGCCGCAGTCCTGCTCCTTAAGACCTCATCCATCATGCAGTATTCCTGTTGCTTTGCGGTAGAAGCGATCAACCCAATAGTAGGAGCAAGGATGCTACTAGGGCTCCTGGCATCGCTACTAGGAACAAGAACGCTACAAGGAGCCAAGTGCATCGCTTCTAGTAACAAGTGCCTTACTAGTAGTAACAAGGACGCTACTAGGAACAAGAAGCTACTAGGAGCAAAGGGCATCGCTACTAGGAGCAACGACGCTACTATTTGTTGGCTTGGCTCGGTATGGGGGATGACAAGCATTCCCTGCAGAAAGGCACCAGAAATGGATCCCGAAGAAAGCCCCGCAAAACACTAGCGATCAAAAAGAGAGAGGCCCCGTGTGCAACAGCATGATACACGTGGTCACCTGGCTATTAAAGACTTTACGCTCAGGTGGGTAATTATATATATATATATACACATGTCATTAAGTATAAAATTACCTACTAATTACATTTTAAATAAACACATGAGATATAAGCATAGCGTACTTGAATTGAGATAGTAGCACATGAATTCCGCGGGTTTGCGCATGCATGTGTTCAAAAGCGTGCTTTCATACGAATTGCTCTCTTTCGCGTGGGGCTCTTTGGGCGGTGTTTGGGGCCATTTTTTGGGCAGTTCTTGGAACCACCTGGCGTGGGCATCTCCCGATTTGTTGCCCATCCATGTCTGGATTTGCCATGATTTGTCCACACAAACTGCATTTGCCGGGTTGGCTTTTCCAGGGCTGCTCTGACGCACCTTTCTTTGTGAGATGGGTGGTTTTAGTTTCCATATGTTTCCATGTGCACTCATGAACAGTTGCGATTTGCAATGAAGCTTGCGTCGCGCAGCCCGCACCTGTGACGGCCTTGCAAGTGTCAGTAGATCGCTTTCAATATCTTTGAAGAGATTTAAAGGCGCTGACACGCTTGGCAGCCATTCACGGACAGCGTGCCAACGTCACAATTCAATCAGCTGGCAGCTGGGAATAGACACCAGCCAGAATGTGCCGGCGGCCACAGTGCTTATGGAGACACATTGTCCCCGACTCTGTCTACACAAGTTCTAAACCCTTGCTGTTCTTGTATGTTCGGATGAGTGTCGTACAATGGAAACCCTGCTGGCCATTGCATAAAGTAGTAGCTTCTTGCTCCTAGTAGCGATGCCAGGAGCCCTTAGTAGTAAGGCCAAGAGCCCCTAGGAAGGGCACGAAACTTCCAGGTCCATTCAACCCCTAATGACTAAGGCCTTCGGTGTGGCTTGGCTTCACCTGGCCCACGAAAGCCGTTTCACCCGCTGTGAGCTCGCTGGCAGGTGCAACCAGTTGATATCCTGCAAATGCCCCGCGTGAAAAAGAGGTAGTGTAAAGGTGTTTGTGTATCTGTAGGGTGGGTCTAGACGCCCCCAAGGCAATTTCATGTTGATAATGTTTCTATCTTGCAATTCATGCTGTTTGAGGTTGATAACTACGTGCCATTTGACACTTTGACAGTTGGGTGTCACGGTGTCAAGTGCAGGGTGACAGGCAAGAGAGGTAGATGGGCCCTTTGTCCACGTGAAGAGCTGGTGATGAATTCCAGCAGCCCTTGCCGCCCTTAATTCTAATTAAATTCTATTTATATATTGTTTCTACTAGCTTCTTGTTCCTAGTAGTAAGGCCCTTGTTCCTAGTAGCGATGCCAGGAGCCCCTAGTAGCATCCTTGCTCCTAGAAGTCTAAGGAGTTCGCATCTCTCTCCAGTTGAAGCTGTCTCACCGACGGAAGTTCCAGAAAACTCACCGACGGATCTCTCTCAGGAAGGGTTCGGCATATTTGTTGCAAGTGCATCGCTATTAGTAACTGTAACAATAGGTTTTTTTCTTTCTTCAGCAAGTGTTCAGCACATTTGTTGCACAGAGAAAGGGCCACAGGCCTAGCCATCTCAAAACCATAGTGTTTCGAGCATTCTAGCAAACATTTGAATCCGTTGCCACTTGAATGGGCGGCCCACTTTGTTCAGTGAAGCCAACAAGGAAGAAAGAACAACAGAAAGAAGGAAAGGTCTAAAGTTTAAAGGTCTACAGGTCTAAAGAAAAGAACAAGACAAAAAACAAGAAAACAAAAGGTCTCCTGGCCTTACTACTAGGAGCGGGGATGCTACTAGCCCGAAAACAAAAGACAAAGAAGAACGCATCTCCCTCGGCCGACTCCCAAAGTGGATTCATGCTGTTGCCATGCTGTCGGGGCTGTCCAGTTCAGGCATGGGTGGCTCTAGAGCAGTATGAATCTGTATGGATAATTTGGAAGATGAACCGGGCACTTAGGATATATTGTTTCCCAAATTGTTTCTACAACGCTGGTTAGGATAAATCAGAAAGACAACACTCGCAGTGCTTTGCAGGGGCACCTTTGGGTTGGAGGCCATCGCAGTCCTTCGGTTGGAGAGCCCTGCCTGGCCAGGGAAGTGCTTGGCAAGGCTGCTCTCCCACACCTGGACTGCGTGGCCGCAGAGGCCAGACAACAAGAACATGAATCTGGAGGTGATTGCTTCTTGTTCCGTTCGTAGCTATTTGCTACTAGTAGTAATACCCTTTGTTGCGACTAGCGATGCCCCTTGCTAGTAGCTTCTGGTTCCTAGTAGTACGGCCAGGAGCCCCTAGTAGCGTCCTCACGTGTCTGCCTGTGGGTCGTTGTTTGGAGATTGAACTTGGGTGCCTTCCATGCGGCGTGCCAGGAACATTCGCAGCCCCGATGCTCTCCAAACCTTGGAGGCCTCATGCCTGGCTGCCTGGGTGCGGGCACTGGTCTATTTCACTTTCACGCATGTTCAGGTGCATTCACCTCAAATGCCAGCGAGCTAGGTGAGAGGGATATTTTAAAGTACGGTTTTCAAAAGGCACCGTTTGTGCGGGAGTGAACCAAGATGGTTGAAGTCATCCATCGCCTTGAAAGAGTTCGCGCATTCTTTGGAGGCAAAAAGCCTGGTCAAGATCTCTTGCTTTTGGCAGCTGCCCGAAGGTGCAATGAACACAGCTTTTGGAACTATTTGAGTGTGTGAAAGAATGCTTGTTTCAGTATCGAACTGGGTGGTTTTCCTTTAAAGATCAAGTCTCCTGAACAGTCGCCTCGGCCAGTGAGTAAGTCCGTAGTCGCCTGCCTTTGGGAAGCGGCAGGGAGCCATGCCCAGAGAGAGAGAGAGGTACAGTAAGCTTGGTGCAGTTGGGTGCTCTTATAGCCGCTCCTTGCTCGAAGTGAAAGATTGCATTCCCGACCTTCGCATTTGGGACGCACGCGCTACTATTGTCACTATGTGTGGTTCCGGTGCCCCCGCGGACGCGAAACGAATTGATCCAGGTCTTGTTTAACGTGCGCAGTGGAATTGCTAAGAATAAATGCGCATTCAGACGGCCAGAAGAACCAAGCGCTCTACGAGTAAGCAACTCTGAATTGGAGCTCCTAAATGATGCAGTACGTTTGCTTCTAGGTCTTCGGACGGAACGAACTTCGTCAGAAGTCGTCGATGGCAGTGTCCACTCTGAGCCGTGGAGCATGTGCAAGTGTGACAGTTCTAACAACGCGGGATGGTTCTAAAAATGCATCCGGAATCGTTTCACCACAAGTCACCACAGCACCTCAATCAATGGGTCATTGCCAATACAGGTGCTGCGAGGGCCTCTGGGCAAATTCAGATTTTCCCGCAATATCCTGCTCGCCTCTGCAGAAGGGTGGGGGTGCCAACAGATGTCAGGATCATTGTCAGCAGGCTTAGCACTTGAACAATTAGGTTGAAAGCCATGGCTCTTAGGTTGGAGGCCATTGCTAGTAAATTGGAGGCCATCGCTATTAGAAGGCTCGGCACTACTTGACGCAACAACGAGTTCCACGGCAAGCGACGGAGAATCAGCCTGTCAAGTTAAGTTGCGTGGTATTCGACGCACGGGTACAGCCACAGGTCGCGTCAAACTGACAGGCGCACCGTTGACACGACCTGGTAGCTCCTTTTGGTAGCTGACGTGGCTAAGAAGAACGCTGCCACAGTGAGCAGACAAGTTCAGGCAAACGCCCAACATGCTGATGCTAAGGTGGACATGGACAACCGTGTCGCCCAGCTGCAGGCCGAAGTGGAAACATTTCTTGCAACCATCAAGGAAAGGGATCGTGAAGTCGCTTCATTAGTCTTGTCTTGACCAGCCAACGGTGTGTCGACATGGATGCTATGCCGATGGCTGTCCCACACAACGGGCCAAGCGAAACTGCACACTTCCTTACGGCTGATGCAGCAGCAAGCGGTCGCTCGTTTCCAGCGAAAAGCGCACTAGTCTGTTTTTCGCAGCTTCCACGCCGAGCCGTCGTGTAGGGCATCCGAGTAATGTTTCAAGCGCCACATGGGCATCTCTGAGACAGCGAGACCGCTAAGCCCGAAGAGAGAGAGAGAGAGGACTGCTGTGCACCACAATCGCCGAACACGGAGACAAGCCACACGGTGTGGAGACGCCACTGGGTGATTGTCCACTCCGGAAGCGAGATTCCTAAATATGTCATCGCTACTGGGAACAAGGGCATTACTACTAGGCATTACTAGGGCATTACTAGTAGTAACAAGCTTCCAGCTAGCACTCATTGGCCTATTCCTAAACATGTCGTGCTAATCGCCTGACACGAAGGCCGTTACCCTGCGAATGATGTTGGTTCCTGGGCACCGGGCACCGGGCACCAGCACCTTGTGAACTTCTTCCGATGATTGGCCCGTAGATGAGCTGACCGAAGATGGTGCCCTCAGGGAAATGCCCTGTGCCAGGAGCTACTAGTAGCGAACCTTGCTCCTAGTAAGGCCAGGAGCCCCGTTCGTAGCGTCCTAATCGCAGGACGGTTTTGTTGATTCATGGCCCTTCAGGTGCCGCTGCTCGAAAACATGAGGACGCGCATAATGAACTTGATCCAGACGCTGGGCTGCAACGTTAGCAGTTGGAGGCCATCGCTAGTAAGTTGGATGCCATGGCTAGTAGGTTCGCCTCGGATGCAACGTGCCTTCATCACTCACAGACTTATCCATCCAATTCGGATCTTCGCAGGCAAATCATGGCAAATCCCTTCGAAGGTCCTGAGTCAATCTGCTTGTCCCAGTCTAAAGGATCTAATTCAATCTAACTCCTTTCATGATTGATTAGTTTCAAGGCTTCCCCAGTGACTTCCCAAAACTTCAAGAATTCTGGACAACACTGTCAGGCAACGCTAAAATAAACTTGCCGACTCTTGTCACTTTTTGTGAATTTTCAACCCTCCCTTTTGAGAACTCCATATGTAGGAGCAAAAACGCTACTAGGGGCTCCTGGCCTTACTACTAGGAACAGGAAGCTACTAGGAGCAAAGGGCATCGCTACTAGGAGCAAGGACGCTTTCTAGAAACCTTTGCTGACCCTTTGCCGACCTTGTGAACCTCTTGTTCCTTTCGAGCGACGACCACCTGGCACAGTCCAAGGAAGCATGGTGCTGGTGTGGGCTTGAGCTCCTTGGATTTCCCAGTCGTTTGACAAAACCTACTAGCGATGGCCTCCACCCAATAGCGACGGCCTCCAACCTGAAATGCTGTATGAGGCCAAATGTCCATTGTTTTGGTCATTGGGAAATAGGGCAATGTGGCATCCCAACTGCGGCATGCCGTGTCACCGCTCTGAAAGGCATGCTTGTTACAGTGCTTTGTAGCCAGTGAAGTGCACCCAAGGCTTCATAATGTTGTTTGTAAAATGCTGCTCGCGTGCGAGGCTACATGCTTTGCCTTGGACTGAACATTTGCATGTGCTTGATCATCAGCTGCGTGTCGTACGTGTCGAGCTTGGAAACGCAGCTCAATGATCAAAGCTCAGGGCTAAATGTTGACTTGTAGTGCCCAGAATGAGGGAAATGTAAAAGTGCAGCACACAGCAGGGTGCCACTCGCCTAGTGTTTGCTTTTTAGCGAAGAAAACATGAATGTTCAGGTCCCAGAAGTATTGCTCCTAGTAGCGTTCTTGCTCCTAGTAGCGATGCCCTTTGTTGCAAAACGCCAAAAAAGCTTTTGAAATGCAAGGTTTGGACCGCGCATGTCAGACCCATATCGCTCATACCGTTTTCGGTAAACTCGAAGCTGCCGCACAGCTGCACTTTGGGCTGCTCTATGTCCTTTTAAAGACCCTTGGGATTGTCCTTCCTTCTTTCCTTGCTTCCTTTCTTTTCTTTCTTTAGGTGCATCTTAAGTGTTTTGTGTACTTGCCCTTCAAAACCGCCCATTTATTTCGCTTCGACTATGCCTCCGGGGCTTTGTTTGGTCTCCGGCCTTCCGTCCCCTCTTTGCCTGGCCTATGTCACCCAGGCTTCCTTACTTTTCTGCTGTCTACGTGACCTATGGCAGCTTGGCCTATCCATTCCAAATGGCTGGGGCGGTTGCCTTGGCACCACTTTTTGCCAATGGCATGAGACAGCTGCGCAAGAGGCTCAAGCCTCTTGGCGAACAAGAGCGGTGCCGAGCGTGGAAGATCTGGAAGATGCATTTCCGAGTCTAAGCAGTCCAAGCAGATACGCCAATTCTGCAACAAAGGGGGTATGGTAGGAACAGGCAGTTGATTTGCAATATGCCGACTTGAAAAGGAGAAAGGTTGGAGGCCATCGCTAGTAGGTTGGAGGCCATCGCTATTGGGTTGGAGGCCATTACATGCGAGGCTATCTAGCTGGGCCGCCTTCATACTCTTGCTTGTGTTGGTCGTTTCTGGACGCTTGGCTGCTGTGATTTGAATCTTGTGACAGAGGTGGTTGGTCTCATTAAAGGTCAACAATAGGCTTCCAAGGCATTCCATACGTGCCAAAACCTGCCAAAAACATGTTTGCTACAAAGGCAAGATGACTTAGATTGCTGATTCCAGGTTTGGGATTGAGCCAGGGAGGCAGGACAAAGACATAGAAAAGCTTCAGCTGTGCAAGGTTTTCAACCATAACAAGGGCGTACAGCGTGGGAACATGCTGCCAAGGCACCTGCACGCTGCTTGCAACGATCCTTTTGGTCTTCTCATCTCCTTCTGCAGCTTGAGCTTGCCAATTCAGACTGTGTACAGAGATGAGGCCAACTTTGAGCTTCCCTCGTTTGCTCTTTCTGGCAGTTCGAACCAACCCAGCTATATCAGTTTATTTCTGCATATGTATGCATATGTGTATGTATCATTAGAAGTGTTGGCATTTTGAAGGTGTGCCAAATGTCATTGCTTTTGACAGTGTGGGACCAAACCATAAGGACAGGGTTTGTTTGAGCACTGTTTTTGTATGTGACATGTTTGGAGGGCCATGGGAGACTTGATGCGCATTCCGAAGCACATCTCGTGCAGAGAAGCCTCAGATTAGCTTCCAGTCTTGTTGCGTCCAAAACCCTTAGTAGTAGCGTGGCACTTGTTCCTAGTAGCTTCTTTGTTACTAGTAGCGTGGCACTTGTTCCTAGTAGCGTGGCACTTGTTTCTGTGCCAATTCGTCGACTGAAAGGTTAGGAAGATGGAAGTACGAGACGCACATCCCTCCGACCTTGGACAGGCCTAGCGGCTCGATCTGCATGGCTGACGGCTTTTGATCCGCTCCATGTTTCGCGGAGGAGCGGAGTTGGAGCATCTGGGAGGGCGGTGTAAGTAAGTAGTAGCGATGCCCTTTGCTCCTAGTAGCGATGCCAGGAGCCCCTAGTAGCGTCCTTGCTCTTAGTCCTAGTAGCGATGCCCTTGGCTTCTAGTAGCAAACTCTCACCAGAAAGCTTTGCAAAGATAATCTATGCAATTGGCTTGATGCAATACATCTGCCTTCTTTGAACGACTTGGACCAATCAAACAAGTACTGCTCATGTTGTTTCTATTTGTTCTTTACTCAGCAGATGTAGCGGATGCTGTGAGATCCGTCTTCCAGGTGTGCGCAGCTAGCAGCTAGCTCCTACGCCCGGCTGGAAAATTGCAAGATTTTGCGAGCTTCAAAGCAGATACGACTAGCGGATTGCACTACAAGCGTCACACAGACTTCTCGAACGTGTGTCCCATGTTCTAAATAGATAGTCGGTCCAATCGTAGAGGTGTTGAACTGGATGAACGAGGAGTGGCTGAGGCTGGTGCAATAGCCGAGCGTTTCGGCTCCAGCTTTGATGTGCAAAGCCATGGTCTCTAAGCCAGGTCTTGGTCCACTTGGCATCAGTCTTGTGGTGTCGCTGTTCAGTCTGGTGCCTGCTACATCTGCTACCCACGATGTTCGAAAACATGAGCAAAGCATCATCTCCGCAGAGGCCAATGTCATGCGCCGTGATGTGGCGGCCACAGAGGATGAGTTGAGGGGAGGGACGGCCAAGGTCAGCCACGCTTGGCATGCCAGTGCTCAAACCAGCTTTCCACGAACGTCAGGGGCTCCGTGGCCCAATCCGGTGCATCATGCGGTACAACATGTCAATCCCGATGCCTCTCAAGGGACAGGCGCTGTTGGTCAAGGGCCTGCCGGAAAAGATGCCAAGGGTGGCAAAGCTCCAAACGACGTGAAAGAGGCAGAGGCCATCGTGGAGAAGTTTTTCAAAATTGAAGCTATGGTGGCCAGAGAGACTGGCCTCCCTCTCAACAGTAGCTCCGCTGCAGAAAAGGAGATGGAAGAGGCTGCCAAGAAGGAAGAGGAAGACGAAGAGGAAGAGGAAGGTCGTATTGATTTACTCTATGCTTCGATGATTGTTTGTGTGATCCTTGTTGCAGGGCTGGCGTACTACAGGTGGCGACAAGGTCGAGCGCAGGACGAAGTACACAAGCCTTTGGCATCAGGAACCACCAAGTGAGGCAAGTGAACCTAGCAAACCGTAGTGCCCACAACATGTTTCAACCTCGATTGATCCACATGCCGAGAGTACGCATACTCATGCCGAGTGCTGTTCTCATGCTCCTTGGTTACCTGGGTTCTTGGGTTATTCACCGCGATGGTTGGAACAGGGACTTCACTTCTCAGAGGTCAAAGTGCCAAGTCGGTGCAGCACAGATCACCATGATCAACGAATGCCTCGGCACAGCTAGCAAAAAAAATTGTTTCGCTCCAGTCCAGATATTTCTTTACTGTCCTTGATTTGAATCGACTTCCAGCATTGAAGTGTGCATTTCATTCCGAACGACGGCAAGCATCGCACCCCTCAAGTGCATGCTCGCGATGTCTTTCAAGCGGGAAATGTCGTTCAAGCTTGCGAGCTTTCCGAATGAATGTATTTGCAACTGTAGCGAGGCAGCGAATGGGTCAATGTTTGAGCGACAAAACCCAATAAGGAGAGACAGCCAGTGCTTCCGCCATTGATGAAGAAACCAATCCATTTACATAACGAAATCATGGAGTGACATAAGTAGTGACACATCTTCCAGGAAGGTCCTCAGCTGTTTTTTTGCAACACGGGGCCAACTCAGCCGTGCCATGGGGCAGTCACCTTGCAGTTGTGATCGGAGTCCTGCAGTCAATACACAAACCATCACAGTCGCTTGAAGCTATTCACTTGCAGCTTTTCAAGCTTGGAATTGCCATTTCAGCTGTCTTCACATTTTGCTGTCTTCTTTCTCATCCCATTTCTACACCCCTTGCTAGCCCAGGGTGATGATGAAGCTGGAGTCCCTGAGCTAATATTTTGGCACCAACCGCACAAACTCCAAAGCTTTGCAGTTGCGATGGCAGTAGTTGGGGAAGCGGAGATTCAAGTAAGTTGGAAGCCATCGCTATTAGATTGGAGGTCATCGCTGTTAGGTTGG